ATCACATCCATTGATGATCAAGACAATGACATCTAGCCAGGCACAGTGACCCACGCCTTTAATTGAAGAACTGGGGAGGCTGAGGCAGATGGATCTCTCTGAGTTTGAGACCCCTAGAGCTATATAATGAGACCCTGTCTTAAACTCCCCTGCAAAAGAAAATGGTGCCAGATGTTAAAGAGATGGCTTAGTGATTGGGAGCACGTGCTGCTTTTGCAGGTGACCCAGGTTCCTTTCCCAGCACCTCCATGAAACTCAGTTCTAAAGGGCCTACGTGAAACTCTTGTTCCAAAGGGTCTAGTGTCTCTTCTGGCTCCTATGGATACCAGGCATGCACATGGTGCACATACATTCAAGCGAACACTCACACACTGAGGATAAAAGAAACTAATGAGAGAGAGAGAGAGAGAGAGAGAGAGAGAGAGAGAGAGAGAGAGGATGAGCCATCACTCTTCTCTACACTAGACTCCAGGAAGGAAACATCGAAATGTCATGTTTAGCATGGACAGCTGTGGGACACTGACTCTGAAGAGCCCCGGTGTCAGCAAAGAGGTTCACAACTTTGCTCCTCCCAAACTCAGTGACTGGAGAGTGTTTCTGTGGCTCTGTTCAGAACAGTATCCAGTTCACTTGAATCTATTCACATTTTCAGAGCCTCTGAAATTGGTGCCTGGGGCTCAGGGGCACTTAGTAAATATGTGTTAGAAATGAGGTAACCACTGGGCATTGAACCCTCTCCACTTCAAAGTCAGAATCATGAGGCATAACCCTGGGCTCACTCGGGTGACAAACAAGAAACTTATGTCAGGGTCATACAGATGTCCTGGCCTCTGCCTGTACCTGCTCTGGGTCTCCCATAGCCTCAGGCCAGGTTGTCCTATACTTTCATGTCTGATTAGTTTTCAGACACTAATTCAGGATGAACCTTGAGACTCCATGATCAGAAGTGCCTTTCTGTGTTTGTGGAAAGGCACCCCCCTTTGAACTGGCTAAGAGTGCTATAAAGACTGGCCACAAATACCGTGTCTGGACTGGAGTAGTGGCTTCCAAAAGAACCAGCCATTGTCACAGCTTTGGTCTCTGAGTGTGTGGACAGGAAATGTGGGTCCCTGACATCAGGAATGCAGTCTGATAAACACAAGTCTCCTGTGATTTCGCAATTCTCCTTCATGGAACAGAGAGGGTGCAGAGGCAATGTCTCTCACTGTGGATAAAGTGAGGGCTGGAATTAAGAGGCTCACTTAGGTTTCTCGGCCTCTGTGGTGTTCGTTCTTCAGCTTGTTGCTTTGCAATAAGTCAGTCTTAATACATGGTGGTGCACACCTTTAATTCCAGCACTCAGGAGGCAGAGACAGATGGATCTCTGTGAGTTTGAAGCCAGCCTGGACTCTATAGCAAGACCCATCTCAAAACAAGCACACACACACACACCAACCTCTGTGTTGTTTTGTGTGTGTGAGAGAGAGAGTGAGAGAGAGTGAGAGAGAGAGAGAGAGAGAGAGAGAGAGAGAGAGAGAGAGAGAGAGAGAGAGAATATGTTTCACTATATGCTCTCTCAATCTTTTTGCCTCAGCCTCCCCAGTGCTGGGATTACAGGAATGTGCCAGCCATGTCCCACCAATTACCTGAAATTGTATACAGAAATCCTTGAGTTTAGACACACTGTGTGTGTGTGTGCCTTTTTTCCTGGGGAGATAATCAATATTTTGTTTCAGTACAAACAAAATCCCCTACCCCCATTCCCAGCAAAGAAACCAAAGGACAAAACATGGGGCAGATAAACCCACTCCTGTCCTACTAACAGATGAGTATGATCAAGACTAAAGAGGTCCTGTCCCAAGTCACTTCACCAGTTAGTGATAGAGACATCTTAGGAATCACATCTCCTCAGTCCAGGCTGGGTAGGTTTCCAACGGTCCACACCACCTGGATTTCTTGCAGGGTATGATCTTCAGGACAGGAACTGTGTGGCTTGTTTTGGATCTGTGCCCTGGGCTTAGGGTGGTGGTTCCTTGTCTCTGTGGTCACTGGCTCATCAGTGGGCCTCACCCTCTCAGGCACTGTTAGTGTTACTCAAATGCAGGGTGGCAGGGAGCCAGGGAAGTTTTACATGTCAGTGGCTGACAGGATATAGTTAACATGGCTCCTTCTCACCTTCCCAAGTGTCATTTCTTTTTTTGTGTGTGTTTTGTTTTGTTTTTTGAAACAGGGTTTCTCTGTGTGGCCTTGGATGTCCTGAAACTTACTCTGTAGACCAGGATGGCCTCAAACTTTTAGAGATCCACCTGCCCCTTCCTCCTAAGTACTGGGATTAAAGGTGTGCACCACCACTGCCTAGCCCAAGTGGCATTTCTAATTCTAGTTAAATTCAGTTAGGCAAACAGTTCTCCTAGGAATCGAGGGATTAAGGGTGGTTGGGTTTAGCGGTCCAAAAGACTCCCTTTTACAAAGGGATCAGTTCCAAGACCTCCAGTGAGGGGGCAAAATATCACACAAGTAAAAATTGTCCCTGAAAACTCTTTAAGACGGCCATGAAGTTCAACAAGCAGACAGGATCACTTCTCAGGAAAGCCCAGCCAGCCTCAGTTGAGCAGCAGAGGAAAGCACTGGCTGGCATTTAGAATTCTGAAGCAGAGAGGCATATCTGTGTATGATCAGAATCTGATGTGCTATGACCAGGGAAGGGTCTGTGCATGCTCCATCTCTCTCTCTCTCTCATGCATGCACACAGAGCACCACCGGCACATGGGGTAGAAGAGCAAGAGAGCTGTACTATGCCACTATGCACCAACACCTCACTGTATGCCCCGCATGCTATGAGCCCCTCCCTCCAACCCTCCTCAGCTAACTACACCACTGACCTGATGCAAACTAAAAGAGCCTTTCAACTAACCCCACTTTATGCCAGCACCTCAGTCTAATCCTGCTGCCACCTTGGGTTGTTGATCTAGAATCCCTGACCCATAGAAACCATGAGCACACTGGGCAGTGGTGGCAAGACATTACTATCACTAGGCACCTGCAGGTTCTCTGTGTAGATCACAGGAACTGCTTAATGGACTCAACTACAACTTAGCATATAATGTGTAGAATAACATCTGGACATGGCACCAAGTCCCACTCCCACCGCACTCCAGTAAAAACAAACCTTACTATTCAAACATAGAGTAGTTACTGGTGCCATGCTTTACAGAAGAGGCAGTTATTTGGCATTAAAAATAGGCAAGTGTTGGTTTCCTCAAATAGCTGGGCATTAGCAATGTGATTTTCAAATGGAAACACAGAGTGTGACACTCACACACATCCAACCTGACTCAGCTATTTAACGAGTGTCCACAGAAAAGTGGAGTGCCCACGTGGGCCTCAGTTAACGGATCTGCAAAGCGGGAGGTAAGATGGTCCAAGTGACCACGTTCTACAGAGTAGTGACGAGCTGCTGGCTTCACAGCAGTGTGATACAGGAAGGCCAGCCAGCCCTCTGTTCTCAGCACAGGGCTAAGCAGGACCCACAACAGCTTTTCCCTAAGGACTTACAGAACTTGGTCAAGAGCTGGAAAGAACCCTTTGGAGTCTCATGTATTGTTGGTTCACATATTCATAAGAAAAAGTCAACCAGGAGGGTCTCTATACACCCAGCACACATGACCCCTCACAGGCTACCTTTTCATTCATTCATTCATTCATTCATTCATTCATTCATTTATAAGTAGAGTCTCACTATGTAGCTTTGGCTGGCCTAGAACTCTCTGTGTAGATGAGGCTGGCTCCTGCCTTGCAAGTGCTGGGTGGGGTTAAAGGCATGCACCACCACTGCCCAGCTCTTTTCAAACAATTTTGTATGTGTGGTGTATGTGGGCCTGAACGGGGGAGACATATGTGCAGGCTGGAGGTTGAGGTTGGATTGTCCTCTATTACACACACACTCTCTCTCTCTCTCTCTCTCTCTCTCTCTCTATATATATATATATATATATATATATATATATATTCTTATATTATACATCTTTAAAATATTTCGTGTTATCTTTAATTGAGTGCATATGTGGGCATGTGCACCTAAGTGTGGGTAGGAGGCTAGAGGCATTGGATCCTCTGGAGAAGAATCATAGGCAGTTGTACCAAACTCAGGCCCTCTGGAAGAGCAGCAAGCATTAACTACTGAGTCATCTCTCTAGCCCCTTGAGCTAATTCTTTTGTGTCTGTCACTTAACCTGGAGCTTGTGAATTCATTTACTAGTGGCTGACCAGGCAAGCCCCTGGGATCTCCCTGTAGCTGCCTCTAGGATTAGAGTGTGCCTCTACTCCTGGACTTTTGAATGAGCCCTTCAAGATCCACCCTTAAGTGCATACACTTGTATCCACTGAGCCCTCTCCCTTCACTCCACCCCTACCTTCATGAGCTGGGGATTGAACCTGAGGCATCACACCTGCTTGGAATGTGCTCTACCACCAAGTGATAACTCCAGTCCTCTTTGCTTTTACAACAGGGTCTTGAACTCTATAGCCCAGGCCAGCCTTGGATTTGTGATCCTCCTGCCTCAGTCTCCCAAGCAGCTGGGACCACAGTCTTAAGTTACCAAGCCAGGCCTGAGATGTTACCTGGTGTTGGTTACCTGGTAAAAGGAACCCAAGGTTTGGCTTTCCAGGGGGAAAGGTTATGTGCAGAAAGGCAGAAGGTTCCTCTCCACCACAGACTGCTAGTGCTGGGTGCCAGAGGTGGTAGGACTGTCCCACATTCCATCACTGTCAAGGTCGTTCAGCAGGTAGAGGCCAGAGGCTGAACCCAAACCCAGGCTGACCCCTCCAAAGCCCCTTTGTCCCATGACACTGGGCTTCTGTAGCCTGTTACCATGAAGCAAGACTGTTCTTCCCAACTCCGAGAAGAGAAAGGCAGTATGGGAAGAGCCTAAGGCCTCAGGATGTCAGGGAGGAGCATGTTAAGAGGGGTTGATGCCCCCTTGTGAGTATTTTTGCCACATCTTAGAAAAATAAAGAACAGATTTACTTTAAATGGTTTTATTAAAAATTGTACCAGTTGGTGAGGGAGAGGATATTTACACATGTATACATGTCAAGAACAAACAAAAAAGCCAAATATTATGTACAGATTAAAAAATAATGGTCCCCATTACTCTCCTTAAGGCAGAATGCCCAGACCCCAGGGCAACCAAACTGGGGGTGAATGAAATGCTACATCTCACTGGGTCTACCCCTGCCAGTTCCTGTAGACCCAGAGGTGGGGTGGACCATGAGACACCTGTAGAAAGAGGGGCAGTGCAAGCCTGGGGCTGCATACCTCATAGCACCTTGGCCAAAGCTGGGCATACACTTTAGAGCCCAGCTTTGTTCTGCTGTCCCCTTGAGGCAATGTCCCCCAGACCTGCAGCTCATAGGAACCCCAGGAAACTCTGAACACCTTTGGGTCCACCCTGCCCCACCAGGGTATCAGGCCAAGATAGCGTGTCTCCAAAGGTCCTCATCTTCAAAGAGCCACAGTTTGCTCCACCAGGAGGACGGTGGCCACAGTACTGATTCCTCAAACGTCCTGCAAAGCCGTGAGGACTGTCGGCTTTGGCCACTCCAGGCACATGTACCCGACTTCCTATCAGGTCCCCCAAAAGGAAAGTTCCCAGCACTGATCTTGCTGACCGGGATGGTCAGTGACTTCGCTGCCTAGTTCCTGGAAAGCTTGGGGCAGACAGGGGCCCTGGCTAGACTGTCCCAAATACCCACTCCCGGCCATGCCTAGGGTCGGGCTTGGGTTTGTGGCTGGGGCTGCAAGGCAGGCCAGCTGGGCCTCTCTAGGCTCTGGAAACAAGCTCTGCCACATAGCTCTGGACACAGCCCATCCCTTGGGGCCTGAGGGAGGTCACCGGGAGGTGATCTTTTTCCACCTCTGATTGAGCAAGACAAGGCCACTGGGGACAACTGCATAGCATAGCCAGACTTTGAAACACAGAGACAGAGCCAGGCAGAGCTGCCCCCCCCACCCCCGCCTCACTGGGGAGTTGGTAACTGGACTGGGACACTCCTTTTCAGATCTGTTCACTGGCTTCTAGAAATGCCTGCTGGGAATTGTGAACTAGAAGAGCAGTTTGGCCCCTGAATATTGGGCTTCTCTCCCTCTAGGGCATTTCTATACCGGGTTTTCCCACCCCTCTCCCACCCCCATCCTCAGCACGCCACAAAAACCCGCTGCCTTCAGCTGGTTACAGGTCATCACACAGGTCAGACTTTCCCTCCCTCTAAATCTGAATCTCCACTCCTCACTAGAGACAGACAGGCTCCTGGAGTTGGAGAGAGGCAATGGGGAGGGGCTGGCTGTCCTGGAGTTGGGCTGGAAGACTATAAAGCCAATTCACCAGGCATAGATCGCTGGCCAATTAAAGCAACCAGCCAGGGGGAACCTCTGCCTCCTGGGGCTGGGCTGCCAGCTACCTCCTAGGGCTTGTGGTGGAGGAGTGGGGAGGGAGGGAGGCTGTGTTTTTATTTATATTTTACAGTCCTGGGGATGCATCCAAGGGTCTTTTGACTGCTAGGCAAGAACTCCATCACTGAGCTTCAACCCCAGCCTGGATTCAGGTTGAAGGAAAATAAGAGAGGGTTTCAGTTTCACCCTGGCTTACCCAAGTTGGTGAGTTTGAGCCTGCCTAGGCCCAAAGTAGAGACAGTGCATTCCGACCAGCTTCCACCTGATCCCAGACTCAATGTTCAGGTCAATCTCTGGGCTCAGTTCTCAGGACAGACCACAGGGCACCCAGCCTGTGCCTGGCAAGGTCTCTGAAGCTGAGAGCTATGTCCTGGCACAGATGTAAAGTCTGCTAAGAGGTTTCAAAGATGACTGGTATACATGGTTCTGTATGGGGGGGGGGCACACATGTACCACAGCACATGTGCCAAGCACATACCAGAAGCCTGCCTGCCAAAGCCTTGAAATCAGGGAAGTGGAAGAGCACATATGTCCCACGCACATCTAAACTGTCTGGGAGACATACAGGAAGGCTAGGCTTCACAGTGGTTAGTGTGCCCCCAGAACCAGTCATCATATTCATTAATCAGGTCCCTTCTCCTTGCAAGCAGGAACCCAGCTTCTTAGCAGACAAACAATGGTATACACCCTGAGAAAATGACTGTGGCCAAGAAGAGGTAATATCTCCAGATCATCTAAGCAGAAAAACACAAAGGCTTATACACATACTTCGAGGTCCTTCTTGGGACCGTTTTGAGTGCACCCAGTGCCTTTGTGTACATTAGGAAAGACATCCCTAACTCTGAGCAGATCTAGCCCCACATCAGGACATGCAGCCCAGAGAGCAGAGCACAGGCTGGATGTCAGCCTCCGCGATCCCCTCATATGCTGTGCAGTATAAAACCTGCCCAACTGTATACCCAGGAGGTCAATTGCCCTTCTACAGGACTGAAGACCCTCTGCACAACAGAAATGAGTCATTGAGCTCGTTCAGTTTGAGTCTCCTCTGAGTTCCTCCTCCAAATTCCTTGAATGACCCTGGAGTTGTCTTTGCTCGGGGAAGCCATCTTTTCTTTGGGTTTCATCTTTAGCACCAATGTCTTTCCTTACATACATATAAAAATTACGATTTGATTTCCAGGTGTCGGGTCACCCTGTGACTAAGGTCAGCCGCCTTGAGTCCCCTCCCTGAGTGCTGTGGCAGGGAGAGAAAGAAGACGTTCAGAGGCAGCTGAGATACCACTGGGTTCAAGAACTCTCCCTTCGGGGCTAGCCGGAAGCTGAAGGAAGATAGGAAGTGTGTACCCAGCTCTGCCAGTTGCATGTTCTAAGCATTGTCTGTTACTTCAAAAGTCCTAGCTTCTTCCTGTATCTCACTAGGTACAAAAAAGGAATGGGGATAAGGGGGAGGAGGTACATGTTTCCAAGGAAACCAAGAGGTCTAGCATCCCCTGGGACTGACTGATCAGTGGGATGGCTGCTCCATTCCCATGCCCCCTGCGAACCCACCCCGTCTCGACGTGCTGCTGTTGAGGTGGGTGTAGTCCAATCCAGTCCAGGAGTTGGCAGGGTCTTTTGAAAACAGAGCTGATAAAGGCACAGGCTGCTGGGTACAACACGATGGTGACTGGCTACTTGGCTCACACATGGTTGACACCCAGGCAGCAAAGGTGGCAGTAGTTTGCACCTTGGAACCATTCAAGGGGTTTCCATGTGGGACCAAGTCACACTTGGGGCCTATCAAGCTTGATTCCATTTTGAGGCACCTTTGAGAGGTTCTTGGAGAAGTCCAAACCTCTCTGAGGTCTTCTGGAGGTGACAGGGTCTGGATAAGAATCCCTGAGCCCATGTGGTGGGCACTGGCTGTGCCTAGAGGGAACCCAGATGCAGGGCTGGCTAGCCAAGGCAATGCTGTTCTTAGCCAGGAAGCCCCGGGCCAAGGTCCTGGTGGGTTAGAGTTGTGTTTCCATCAGGTGTAAGGGGAGGCTGACATATTTGGTGATCCTGGGAATCTGACCTGGCCTCTCATTTCTTAACCAGTTCCAGTAGGAAAGCCTCAGTCCATTTCCTGGAAGGACATCACCAACTGGTCACTGTCAGAGCCTTAGGAATTCCACCAGCCAACACGGCCATCTCTCCTTCAACAGTGTTTGACAAAGGCCCCCATTCCCAGTGCAAGTTCTGAGCAGGAAGGAAGATCCCATTGGGGTTTGTTATATGTACACACAGGAAAAAAAAAATTAAAAATAACAAAACTTGACAAGACAGTGTCTGTCCTCCCCGATGTCTGTCCTGTTCCAGACTGCATTCCTGGTGCTCCGTCCAACAAGGGCCACCAGCCTCACCAGGGCCCCACCCCTTCCCTGTTTTCTTCTCTGTTCAAGGCCAGGTTTTGCAGGAAGAGGAAGACCTGCCACCACGCACGGTCTCGGTTCTGCTGGTGCTGTAAGGGAAAGAGATGAGTGTTAGGTGCCAGGCACCACTAGGCTACAGGCTCCTTGTGTTCCTAAGCAAGCTCCCCTTGCCAGATCACAGATTAGCACCGTCGTGCCATCCAGCAAACTAAGGGGGCAGGGGACAAAACCCCCAAAGACGGCTGCAGTTTGGCCATTTAAAAACAGTAGGCTGGGCCGTGTGGACTGCGACAGGAGGATCAGACTTTCTCCCCTGCTCGCAGGATTTTTCCAGAGTTTAGCCAAGTACTGCTTTTAATCAGATTGGCTCCTGAGCACCCCCAACCTCAGCTGCAGGAGCAACAATCTTGCTTGAGCGAGAAAGACAAGAAGTCCCTCCCGCTCCGCTATTCCAAAGGAACACAGAGAACAAGAGAGGGAAGGGGAGGGGAGCCTCCATCTGCAAGTGATTTGACACTGTGAAGGTCAAAGGGTTAATCTTCAATTTAAACCACACTGCTGAGGCAGCAAAAATCTGATTTCATCCAGTACAAACACACACACACACACACACACACACACACACACAGATACACACACACTTGTGTGAGAGAGCCAGCCCTCTCCCCCTTCCCCAGCATCCCCAGTTCTGGGCTGCCCTTTTTATAGCTACTTTTGACAGTAAGCCATAAATAATCCCTCTTGGAGCACTTTCCTACCGACTGGAGCCAATTAAACGTTAAGCAAGAACACACTTGAAAACAAAACAAAAACAAAGAATGCACACCAGCTCTGGAGGTTATCCCAGGTCCTACTGTCAGGCTGGGAAGCTAGGGGGCAAAGTTCAGAGGTCAGAAGCACAAAGGTTTCTGGCTGCTGTCCTGTCCATACAGGTACCATTTCCCAGAGACCAGCAGAGGCCTAAAGGGGACCAGGGAATGCTGGAAGAGGCGGTCTTTGTTCTCTCCTTGTCTGCCAGGGGAGGAGGACAGGCTGGGGCCTCTCCACAGGGTTCTTAGTGGACAGGGGAATAAAAACCTAGTGTGCAGAGAGGGGCCAGCACAGGCTGGATTTGGATTCCTTCAGTGGCCCAGTCAGCAAGCTAGTTTATGTGAGGTATCAGGCAGGGGGGATGGGGACCCTCTCAGGCTGTCTTTAACCACAGCCATCAGCCCCTACCAGGCAACTCCTACTTACATGGGAAAAGGGTAGAGAAAGTTAGTAAAACAAGCATGTTGTAAGCCCAGGTTTCCTGGACTCCTGGAGCTTTGAAGTTCCATCCAGCCCCAGGTTTCCCCAGGGAACCAAGCAGGCTGTGGGTCCCCTCCTCACAGCCCTCAGCCACAAAGAGAAAGGGTCCATGGCAATGATGGAGGGGAGTGTGGAGGAGAGTGAGTCGGAGGCACAGTGCCTGCCAAGCGGGTTAAGGGAAGCGGGTGTGCCACAGAGAAGCCTGGCAGAAGGCGCTGCTGGGGAGACTGATGGCTTCCTCATGTTTTGTAAACAAAGATGAGTAAAAAGAGGAAACACACGCTGCTTAACAAAGTCTGGTTCCAGTAGAGCAGCCTGAACTTCAGCTGCAAAGCTGGTGACCCAGGCCTGCAGCTGGGGGAACTCCTGCCACCATGCCTCCCCAGCTGCTGCCCACAACAGGTGCAAAGGTCATGAGTGGAACAGGAGACCCCGGGAACAGACAGGTCCCTGGAGAGGCCAGGCTGCTGGCATTGTGAATCTCCTCAGGTACCTGTCTGAAAAAGCCAAGGAGCCATAAACTATGATTTTCAACACTAATAGAAACAGGTCATGGTGCTTCCATACTGTCCTGCTTCTTAAGGTGTGGTCCCCACAGCAGCAGCCTCAGCAGCACCAGGGAAGCTCACTAGAAATGCTAACTCACTGAATCAGAATGTGAATTTTCAACAAGATCCCCAGAATTCTGAGGCTGGAGGGACAACGTAGGATAAAAAGCATTCTTCTATTTATGTTAAAACTCCATCACCTCCCTAAACCCTCTGAAATGGGTCTGTAGCTAGTAAGTGGCAGGGACTGGCTAGAACCCAGAGCGATATCCCCACTTATGGTCACTGTGCATCATGTACCACCAGTCGTTTTCCATTGTGCCAAAGAAGATCTGCTGCTCTTCTCTTTACTACATCATCTCAAAATAGCATGATGGCCAAGGAAGGAGGTCATGATTCTATGATCCAATGCCTGCACCAATCCTATCTCCATATGCCTTGGCTTCTGCCAAATTCCATTAATGGAGGTCATTTGCTCAGAGGAAACTTCCTGGGTCCCCAGGTCCTTTGGGAGTGAGAGGAGGAAGCAATCTCACTCCATCATTTGGAGTCAGAGAAGTGTCTGTGAGCTGCTGAGTGGTCAGTCGGGATGGATGAAGACTTGCGAGGGGCGGGGCCAAACATGGGGACAGGTGGTGGTGCACACAGGCTGGCCTTGGAGCAGAAGCTAGCACCATGACTTTGCTGTGAGTTTACAGGGCTCATGACCTAGCAAGAAGGCACTAAGGGAGGTACTTAGATCCTTAGATCAGGAATCAGAGGCTGACTTTAGGCTGGATCTCCCACTAACCTGTTTGTGAAAATTCACACTAGTGTTGTAGAGATCTATACCTTCTAAACCCAACTGTGTCACAAGAAAGAGTGTCCCAGCCCTACCCATGCCAACAGGGTCAGAATGTCCAGGGAAGGGACCCAGGAATTTACATACTGAGCAAACTCCAAGAGTATTTAAACTATTAAGTTTAAAAACCAAAAAAGGCAGACAGGCTGGATCTCTTGGTGGTCAAGAGTGTGTACAGCTCTTGTGGAGGAGCAAAGTTTTGTTCCCAGCACCCACATCAGTGGCTCACAAACACCTGTAACTCCAGCTCCAGGGGATCTGATGCTCTGGTCTCCAAGGGCACCTGTACCTACATACACATAACCCCACAGAGACATCAACACATTGTGGTGGTTTGATAGAAAACGGCCCCCAAAGAGACTGGTACTATTGGGAGGTGAGGCCTTGTTGGAGGAAGTGTGTCACTACAGGGGCGGGCTTTGAGGTCTCCTTTGCTCAAGCTTCCCCCAGTGTGACTGTCAGTCTACTTCCTGCTGCCTTCTGGTCAAGATGTTGAAGGGGGAATGCCCTTCTGTATATATGTTTCTCTTATTGGTTGATGAATAAAACACTGATTGGCCAGTAGCCAGGCAGGAGGTATAGGCAGGGCTACAAGATGAGAAGAATTCTGGGGAGAGGATGCAGAGAGAGGGTGCAAGAGAGACACCATGTAGTTGCTGAAGGGATAACATGTTGGAGCCTTCTTTGGTAAGATAAGGCTATGTTGAAATACAGAGGTTAATAATGAAGAGAGATCTAGCCAGTAAGAAGCCTGAGCCATCATCCAAACAGTTTATAATTAATACAAGTCTCTGTGTGTTTATTTGGGGCTGAAGGGTGGCAGGACCAGGCAGGAAAGAAGCTCTGTCTGTAAGATGTAGCCAGCACCACATCTGCCTGCACACTGGCATACCCCCCACCATGATGATAGTGGAATCCTCTTCCTTCCTTTAGAGGCTAACTGGAACTAACTCTTGTAGACCAGGCTGGTCTCGAACTCACAGAGATCTACCTGCCTCTGCCTCCCGAGTACTGGGATTAAAGGCGTGCACCACCAACACCCCCGTCCTCTATGCTGAGTTGCTATGGTCATAGTGTCTCTTCATAACAATAAAATCCTAACTAAGATAAAAATTATATATATACATATAAAATATTTTTATCAGAAGGGGGCTGGGAATGTAGCTCAATGGTAGACCACTTCTAGCACACATGAAGGCCCTGGGTCCAATCCCCAGTGTCACAAAAATAAGAAGGAGGGAAGAAGAGAGGGACAGAGGGAGGGAGGGAAGAGGGACGGAGGGATATCAGAAGCAAAATTTATTATAACTTAAATAATAATAAAAGCAATACATATTCATTGTAAAGCCATCATAAAATATAAGAAATTACAGAGGAGAATATAAAAGCTGCTAGTGATCCTACAGTCTAGAAGAAAACACTTCATAGTTTGGCACCTTCTTCAGTGCCTTTTAACCTCTTTCCATTAAACCAATGTCTTGCCCTGGTGGCCAAACCAGAGGTACAGACTACCCAGGTGCTTCTGCAACAGCCAGGCCACAGACAGGCTTTTGGAAACCACTGAGGTACTTTCCAACCCCAAGAAGTTTATGACCACAATTGCCTTCAGGAATATAGCACAGTGCCAAGGACTCAGGCCTGTCAGCCACCCCAGTAGTACTGGGGCAGGCCTGGATGATGCCTAGGGAGGGCTGGGAACCCATCCCCGGGGCCCTGAGCACCCCCAGAGCATAAACCAAGCCAGGAATACTGCACTTAAGTCTCTCCTGCACACCCCAAAATGGAAAGCAAGCTCCCACACACCAAGAGGCAAAGAATACCCTGATTACAAGGAATAACAATAAACAAAATATTTCTACAAGTCAAACAAAAGAGACTAATGAGAAAGGAAAGAAAAAGAACTTGAAAGGAAGCCAGAGAGAAACTTCTAAGGAAGGAAATCTGCCTCTACCAAACAGGATGAAGGATACAAAGACACCAAAAACAGCAGAGAGCACGAGTCCTTCCAAAGGAGGGAGAAGGAAAGGGGAACCAGGAAAGAGTCTGGGGGCCTCTGAGTCTTGGGCACCTGGCCCAGCACCCAGCATACAATCAATCACTGAGGGCAAACCCCTGGAACAGGGCCCAGCTCTCCCAGGCGAGGAATGTGTGCCTCAGGCTGGGAGCTCCTAGAAACCACAATGGAGTGACCCAAAGATTGGGAATAGGGGATGAAACACTCCAAAGCCCTCCCACTCATCAAGATTTAAACCCAAACAGCAGTGAACAAATAGAAAATGTTGGGGGGGGGGCTGACTAAATGACGCAGTGGATAAAGGTGCTTGCTGCCAAGCCTGATAGTCTGAGTTCAATCCCTAGAACCCATGGAGCATGACAGCTCAGGGCTTTAACCCCAGCACTCAGGAGACAG